CGCCGGGAAGTGGCCAGAGCTGGGGACACGCAGGGCCTGGCTCGCGTGGGTGTGTTGTCCGTTTGTTTCTTAGCTGCATGCTATCTTTTCATTGGCTGAAATCTTCCTGTTCGTATCATCTGACAATTCATCTTTCGGATAATGATTTGTATTTTTCTAAATTAGAGTGAGTTCTCTGCAAATTTGAGAAATAAAGACTTTATCAGCGATACTTGTTGGAAAAATTTGTCCTCAGTTTTGTGCTTTACGTATCATTTTGGTTGCATTCTTTTTGTTTTTGCAAAAACATTTTAATTTTACATACTCAAAATCAACTTTTTTTACATTTTTAATGCCCTCTGCCTCTTGTGTGTTCATAAATTCTTCCTTTATCCCCAGATTTAAACTATAAGCTCTTTCCTGGTCTCCTAACCTGCTTATAGTATCACCCTTTATGTGTAAATCATGTATCCATTTTGATATTATTCTGGTATTCAGTGTGAGTTTCAGGTCTATACCTAGTTTCTTCTGTACTATTTTCCATTGTCACAGCCTTTTTTGTAAAATAAATATTTTTTTAATTCAGTTTTTCTTGACTCCAGACTCAGTGATCTATCCAAAGTATGTAGTGAGAAATGTTCCTCTGTATTTCACAGCCTAGCAAGGTGAAGTTCAGGAAACCAAATCTTGCTTAGACAGTCGGTTTAAGGCCAGTAAGTTGGTTGGTGGCTATGCCAGTTAGGTTCCCACTCCCAGCCCCATTCCACCCTGGTGTCTATTCCACTTGGTTAGACTCTGCTTGGGGCAGGGATACCTCAGAAGCTACTGCAATCTCTTTACTCTAGTGATGCGACAACTTTTCCATGTGGCTCTTTGTTCTCCCACAGGGCTTCTCCGGTCCTAATCATACCTAATCCACCCTTCTGGTAACCCCATACCTTGGTTCTGAAACATGATAAGGTAAATGAGGGGAGTGAAAGCTTTCCAAAGCATCTCTACAGAGTATAGCTGACAGCTAGAGTTCCTCAATCCCCCAGCTAAGACTTTCTTAACTCAACAACTCCCTCTTAATGTGGCTTACACTGTTTTTTTGTAGACAACAGGATATAGGGTTATGCTGGGTGGGGGAAAGTACAGGCAGTCGCTGAAATACAGAGACCTCTTATAATTAGTCCAGCCACAGTTTTCTCTGTACTGTGGCTGATCTTTTGTGATCTTTTTTGAGATCTCAAAAGATCTCAGTCAGGACTTAGTTGAGAAAACCTCAGTCCCTGATCTCTGGCCACATATGCTTACAGGCTTGAGCCCAGCAAAGGGCACAGAGCTTGCTATTGAGGTCAGCTCCTGTGCTCTGAGGGATCCTACCTCTTCCAGCAGTGACAGTTTTGCCAAGAAACATTTGTTAGGTGTTGCTATAGGCTCAGGATCCTGCTAAGAACTGGGAATACAAAGAAAGGTGAAAACAGATCCTGCCTTCAAGGAGCTTACATTCTAAGGAAGGAAATAGCAGGTAAATAAAAAATAGAGACATATGAAGTAATCTTAGAGGAAGGAGATCTGATACCTGGAGGGATGGGGTCGAAGGATATCTGCAAGGCCTCCCACAAAAGTTGGTCTTTGGCTCTAGTCTGGAAGGAAACCAGGGATTCTAAGAGTCAGAAGTGAGGAAGGAGAGAGTAGCCCAGGCTTGGAGGACAGCTAGAGTTCCTGGAACTGCAGTGGGCCAGGACAGTTGGCTCACAGAGCAGGTGGAGGGCAGGAAAGTTTGAGACAGGAAAGGGAGGAAGGGACCAGCTTTTTAGCAGCTTTAAATGTCACATGAAGGAATTAAAAGAAAAACAGCTAACATTTATGTAACACTTTAAGGTTTGCAAACACTTCACATATGTGGGGGGAGCAGACTGCTCTATGAGGCCCATCCTTGGACCATTCTGCCAAATTCTCACCAAATTTGGTGAGCTTGCTTCCAGAAGTGTATGGTGGAGGGACAGATGTCCCTTTTTACCAATATCTACAAGCATTTTTTTACCCTTTTTTGTTGTCTTATGGTGATGGTTAACTTACGGTGATGGCTACCAAACAGGAAGTGAATGTTCACGTAAGAGGCATGAACAGGTAAAATCTATCTCTGTGCTTTTGTCTCTCTGTCTCTAATTCTGTCTGTCTGTCTCTCTGTCTCTGACTATGTGTGCCTGTCTATCTCTCTGTCTCTTTCTCTCTCTCTACTTTCACATGAAAAGAAAGAAATACTGTGGACCTCCAGGTATGGGGAGAAGTAATGCATAGGCCTCCATATGGCCATGAATGCATGCCTACTGCTGTTTCTTCTGTGTGGGTTGTGCTTGTTCTTCCTTAATGTTAGGTGAATGAGTATTGGAGATGAAAGAGAATTGATTATAACTTTGTGAGCTTTGAGTGGCCAGAAGCACCACCAGAGGTCATCATTTGGTCACAGAGCAAGGCAGAGAGAGATTTGTCTGTGCCAGCTAACATTTTTCCTTAGTATTTTCATCTTGTCAGGAGTTGATAGATTATAAGTGAAGAATGAGATATGAATTTTCAAATACAACTAATGTGCAAGATGCTGTTGTTTGTCTATATTTATATGCCACAATGGATGGCTTTTATTTTAAAAGAATTGGGGGAAGATGGAAGGGTATTAATAGTGATATGGGGGAAAAAAATGAAAGACACTAGCACAGAAGTGATCAGAAGGAAGTTCAGAAGGTGATGCAGATGAAATGCCAGAGTCAGAACTACATTGTTAAATTGAATAAATACTAGGATCCAATGATAATAGGGTCTAGACTAGGAAAGGAGGCAAAAGCTTTAGATATTTAGAGAGCTGAAAGAACAGGGAGCAGTCAAGGACCTAGACTTCAAAGTGAGGGTGAAGTGTAGGTTTAATTTAAGTAAGAATGTAAAAAAAGAGGAGGTTCTGTTACAAGAAGGAAATGAGAAAGTTCAGGACTTTGGAGGGAAGCCTTGGTAGTCATAGTAATGTCTAAGGTGTGGCCATGGTGGCAAGTAGCTACAGTTGTGTGCAGAATGAAGTCATTAGAGCTTAAGGAATCATGAAACCAGCATATTAGAAAGTTCTGGGACATAAATCCTAACAACTCTAGAGAGGATGTTAATCATTAGTGTTATTGTTCATTCATTTCAGTCATGTCTGACTCTTCATGACCCCATCTGGTATTTTCTTGTCAAAGATATTGGAGTGGTTTGCCATTTACTTCTGCAGCTCATTCTACAGGTGAGGAAACTGGGACAAACAGGTTTTAGGGACTTGCCCAGGGTTACACAGCTAGTAAGTATCCGAGGGTAGATTTTAACTCATATCCTTCTTACTCTACCCATTGTACCACCTAACTGCCCAGTGGTGGTGTAGAGAATGACTTTAAGCCAATTGGTAGAGCCATTGAAGAATGTGGGAGGATGATTTGAAGATTGATAGTGAGTTCAGGATGTTATAATGAAATTGCATAAATTGAAGGAAGAAATGCTATTAGGGGATAGCAGGAAAGGAAAAATACAATTAAATTAAATAAATACTGTTTAAAATCTACTACATGCAAGGCCTTGGGTTAAACTCTAAGTAAACAAAAACAGAAATGAAAACCAGTCCCTCCCCTCAAAGAATGGACTGTGTGCAGATACATTAAAATAAGGAACTCAAAGATTTAGATCCAGAAGGGAACTTAAAGCCTACTATTTCCAAATCAAGCTTGCAGTCTGGCCACCATCCTCATCTCTCCCAACCACAACTTTGGACTCTGCCTCTAAACCCACTCTGAGCTCTGATAGGTAAGCTTTCATCTCACCTTGCCTGGCACCCGACCTCTGCATCCCTTCCCAGCAAAATGATAGCCTCCTACCCCCACTGCTTTCCAGCTCCTCTTTATGTATTATACTTTCCCCCTCCCCTGCCCCCATTACCGTTGAGGGCAGGGACTGTTCTGCGGCTATATTTGTATCTCCAGTCCTTAGCACAGTGTCTGGTATGCAGTAAGTGCTTAATAGATGCTTTAACTATACAGTCATACTCATAGGATCATAGGATCATAGGTGCAGAGCTACAGGGGACCTCTGAGGATATCTAGTCCAGTTCCCTCACTATATACATAAGGAAAAGAAGAACCAGAGAGGTTAAGAGCCTTGTCAAAGGTCACACAGGAACCAAGAGTCATGATTTAATGAGATTTATTATTCTCTCCAAATTCAATGCCCAGAGCAATCATCTCATGTTGGTTCTTGGAGAGAAGGGAGGTTACCCATTCCTAAATCTGCAAATATCTGGTTTCAGAATGGCACAATGGTCATTTATAGAACAGGAGCACAGCAGCCTCTGTTATCTCCTTACTACTGCTATAACCAACATGGGTTCCATAGCCATTCCAGTCGAAGGCAGAGAAATCCCCGCACTGCCAGGGAGCTCCTTCTGGGAAGAATCCTCCTCCACCGATGCAGTGCTGCAAAGGAGAAAGATGACAATGAAAGAACCATGGGATTGTTATATTTATGATGAAATTTGTCAAGGGAGGGAAATGCATGGAATCCCTTGGTCCCATTAATGTTTATGGAATTCACTGAATGAAAATCAGATTCCCCAAAATGCTAGCTGTCTCCAGGCCTGTAGAACCTACTCCTGTCCTCCTTGTTCATAAATAATGATTACCCTGACTTCAAGATCTAGTTCAAATGCCTATGGGAAGCCTTCTCCAATAACCTATACATTGGTTATCCTTTCAACCAGTATGAATTATACATCTGCTTAGTCCTTGTAATGACTCTTTCAGACACAGGAGAAAGCTCCTGGATTCTGGAATCAGAAAACCTTGTTTTGAATCCTGTCTCCATTCCTTATTGTCTGTGTGACCTTGGTCAAGTCAATTTCCCCTTTCTGGGTCTCAGTTTCTGCCTCTGTAGAATGACTTGCATTAGACATCTGATTTGATATTTAAATTCAGAATAAAAATGAAAATTAATTTAATTTTTAACTAAAAAATAAAAAAAAGAATGAGTGCCTTGGACTAGGTGACTATAAGTTCTAAATCTGTGAACTAAAAATTATCATATGCTCCCTTGCATTGTTACTATTTCCCCAAGCTCTTTGGAAACAAAAACAACTTTTTCTTTTTCTATAGCCTAGTACCTTGCATGCAAAGTACAGTGACAAAGTGGACAAAAGACTGGCCTTGGAGTTATAGGTTCAGGTCCTGCCCCTGGCACATAGTAGACATGTCACCATGGTCATATGGTTTATTCTTTCACTATCCCAGGCAATGCTCTCAGATTATAAGCTACAGGCAAGTATCCAAATCTGTGTTTTTATAACAGGAATTCCCACACAGATGAAATCGTAGGTTTTTAAAACAAATTTAAAAGACTTTGCATAAAACTCATACTAAATGGATACCAGTGGCTAATGATTTGGGGATGAAGTGTTCAGAAAAAATTTCCTGTAAAGCTTCATTTCCATCATCTGCCAAATTTTATAGAAAACTTATGTATAGAAGTATGCAATTTTCATGTCTGATGAATTTGAAAAAAAAATCCCCTCTCAGAACTAGATAAATCTAATAAAAAAAACTAAATAAGAAAGAACTCAAGGAAGTGAACAGAATTTCAGATGAGTTAAATTTGATAATTATTTGGAGAGACTTTTACAGAAATAGAAAGGATACACCCTTTTCTCAGTAGTTCATAGTACCTTTATAAAAACTGACCATATATTACTACATAAAAATTTTGTAGTTAAAAGCAGAAATGTTAAAGACATTCTTTTCAGATTACAATGTAATAAAAATTATACTTAATAAGGGAACACAGAAGCATAGACTAATTTGAGATTAAACAACTTAATATTAAAGAATGAGTGGGTGAAAGAACAAATAATATAAGCACTCTATAATTTCATTAAAGAGAATGATAATAATGAGACAACATATCAAAACCAATGGAATACAGCAAAAACAGTAATCAGAGGAAAATTTATATCCCTAGATGTTTACATCAAAAAAATAAAGAGCAGACTAATGAATTGTGCATGCTACTAAAAACCTAGGAAAATAACAAATTAAAAATCTCCAATTAAAGACAACATTGGAAATCTTAAAAATTAAAGATGAGATTAATAAAATTTAATATAAAAAATTGAATTAATAAATAAAACATAAAGAATTGGTTTTATGGGAAAAAAAACCAAAGTAGATAAACAATTGGTTAATTTGATTTAAAAAAAGAGAAGAAAACCAAATCACTAGTATCAAAAAAGAAAAGAGTGAATACACCACTAATGAAGATGAAATTAAAGCAATTATAAGAAGTTATTTTGCCCAATTATATGCCAATAAATTTAACAATTTAAGTGAAAACAAAGAATATTTACAAAAATATAAATTGCCTAGATTAACAGAATAGGAAATAGAATATCTAAATTGACCTATTTTAGAAAAAGAAATTGAACAAGACATAAAAGAGCTTCCTAAGAAAAAAAGCACCAGGATCAGATAGATTTACAAGGGAATTCTATCAAACATTTTAAAGATCAACTAAAGCCAATATTAAAGAAATTATTTGGAATAGTAAGCAAATAAGGTATCCTACCAAACTCCTTTTATGAAACAAATATGATACTGGTATCTGAACAAGGAAGAGTGAAAATAGAGAGAGAAAATTATAGATCAATTTCATTAACAAGTATGGATGCAAAAATCCCAAATAAAATATTAGCTAAAAGATTACAGCAATATATTATAAAAATTATACATTATGATGAAATGGGATTTATATCAGCAATGCACATATGGTTTAATATAAGGAAAACTATTAACAGAATTGATTATATAAATAATAAAATTTTAAAAAATCCTACTATTATATCAATAGCTGCAGAAAAAACTTTTGGTAAAGAACAGCACTCTTTTCTATTAAAAGCACTTGCAAGTATTGGTATAAATGGATTTCCCCCCAAATTTATAAAAAGCATTTATTTAAAACCATCAGCAAACATTATTTGTAATGGCGCTAAGCTAGAAGCCTTCCCAGTAAGATCAGGTGTGAAACAAGGATGCCTACTGTCACCAATATTATTCAATATTGTATTGGAAATCCTAGCAATAACAATAAAAGAAGAAGAAATAGAAGGAATCAGAATAGGGAATGAGGTAACAAAGCTATCTCTTTTTGTAGATGATATGATGATATATTTGGAAAATCCCAAAAACTCAAGTAAAAAGTTAGTGGAAATAATAATTTTAGCAAAGCAGCTGGATATAAAGTAAATCCACATAAATCATCAGCTTTCCTTCACAAACAAAACACTACAAGAAGAGATACTAAAAGATACCACATTTAAGATAACTCTGGATGTATAAAATACCTGGGAATACACCTGCTAAAACAAACCCAGGAACTATATAAACAAAATTATAAAATATTTTTACACAAATAACATCAGATTTAAATAATGACAGAAAGGCTAATTATTCATGGGCAGTCATAGTCAATATAAAAATTATCTAAACTAATTTATATATTCAATGCCATCCCAATTAAATTACCAAAATTTTATTTTGCTGAACTAGAAAAAAAATAACAAAATTCATTTGGAAGAACAAAAAGTCAAGAATATCAAGGAAACTAATGAAAAAATGTAAAGGAAGGAGATTTAGCAATTCCAGATCTTAAATTATATTATAAGACAGTTATTATCAAAACTATCTGATACTGGCTAAGAAATAGAAAGGTAGATCAATGGAACAGAACAGACATACAATTTACAGCAGAAAATAAATTGATTAACCTTGAATTTGGTTAGATTTTGGTATTAGAATTCATTGTTTGGTAAAAATTATTTGGAAAACTGAAAAGAAGTATAGCAGAAACTGGGCATAGACCAGGGGTGGGGAGCTTGCGGTTTCAAGGCCACATGTGGCCCTCTAAGTTTTCAAGTACAGCCCTTTGACCAAGTCCAAGTTTTAAAGAACAAATCCTTTTGTTAAGGGGATTTGTTCTGTGAAGTTTGGATTAAGTCAAACGGTCACACTTGAAGACCTAGAGGGCCACATGTGGCTTTGAGGCCACAGGTTCCCCACCCCTGGCATAGACCAATATCTTGCACCATTTACCAAGTTAAGGTCAAAATGGATACATGGCCTGGATATAAAGAGAGATATTATAAGAAAATTATAAGAACATGGAATGTATTACTGATTAGACTTATGGATAGGTGAATAATTTATGAATAAACAAGAGATAGAAAGCAAAGTTAAGTGTACAATGAATAATTTCAATTATGTTAAATTTAAAAAAAGTTTTGTACAAATAAAACAAATGTAGCCAAGATCAGAAGGAAAGCAGAAAATTGGAGAAAATTTTTTTAGAAAGTTTCTCAGATAAGGGTCTCATATCTCAAATACATAAAGAACTTTGTCATATCTATAAGAATATGAGTCATTCCCCAATTGATAAATGGTCAAAAGAAATAAATAGGCAGTTTTTCAATGAAGAAATAAAAACAACTTATGTTCATATGAAAAATGTTCTAAATATTTACTGATTAGAGAAATGTAAATTAAAACAACCCTGTGATATCATTTTATACCTAAATTGGTTGAAATATTTGAAGGGGAAAGTAACAAATGTTGAAGGGGATGTGGAAAAATTGGGACACTAATTCATTGTTGGTGGAATTGTGAATGAATCAAACCATTTTGGAGAGCAATCTAGAATTATGCCCAAAGAGTTATTAAACTACTTATACTCTTTGACCCAACAATACCATTACTAGGTCTATTTCCAAAGATTATTAGGGAAAAAGTAAAAGAATCTATATGTTCTAAAATGTTTATAGCAGTTCTTTTTTTTGTGGTGGCAAAGAACTGGAAATTGCAGGGATACCCATCAATTGGGGAATGACTGAATAAATTGAGGTATATGATTGTGATAGAATTCTACTGTGCTATAAGACATGATGAATGCAATGACCTTAGAAAAATATGGAAAGACTTGTATGAAATAATGAAGAGCAAAATGAGCAGAACCAAGAGAACATTGTATATAGTAATAGCAATATTATTTTAAGAATAATTTTGAGCAAATAAGTAATTTTGACTATTATAAATATCCAACTTAAGTATAAAGGATATATGAAGAAAGACACTATCTGCATCTGGAGAAAGAACTGATAAAGACAAGTATACATGTAATAATTTTACATAGATATAACTATTTGTGTCTAATGGTAGCCATTTCTAGGGTGGGGGGAGTAGGGAAGAAAAAAAAAGGAATTTATATAACTTTATTATATATTTAAAAGGAATAGCAAGTTGTACATAGTATATTTGCAGTTTCATGTGCAGTCATCTTTTTATTATGCTGTTATGGAAATGCTTGTTTTTTCCATAAATTAAAATAAAATTAAAATTAAGAAAAAAGAAATACACAGCAAGAAAAAAAAGAAAGGAAACTGGCTACTAGAAACACTAGTTTCATCAATAGTTCTCAAGCTGTGCCTGGCCACCTTGAGATCACATACACATCTACTCTGCTTCTGGGTTGCCCCCAAACCCAGATCAATGGGTAGCTTGCAGATGCCCAGAAAGCTACATTGCCAAGTCAGAAGTTACGGTTCTTATCTATGATTCAGTCTGACCAAAGTTCGTGCCCCAGTGTTAGAGTTTCTTAGAGGAAAGAGAGGGAATTAGCATTTCTATAGCATCTACTGTGTGCCAGGCACTGTCATAAGTGCTTTACAAATAGCATCTCATTGGAGATAATGAGATGGCCTATTGGAAAGAGTAATGATGTGGAGTGAGAGGCCCCGAGGTTGAATCCTGCCTCTGCCACTTGTGACCTGAATCACTTGACTTCTCAGACCCTTACCCTCACCACGTGTAAAATGAAAGGGTTGCACCAGATGACCTCTAGGTCCTATGATCCTAAAACCCTTTCTAGCCTGCTGCTTTACTGCAGTGTGGCAAAAACAACTGTCCTCCATGACAGGTCAGTTCAGTCCTCCACATTTACTTTACCACGGGGATTGCTGCAACTGCCACATTTAAACCAATTGACTCAAACAATAGAAGATCAAAAAATAACTGGCCAACCACCCAAGATTTTCATATACTTCAGCTACTACTACTACTAATAGCTAACACAGATATAGCACCTACTATGTGCCAGGCACTGGGCTTAAGCACCTTACAATCATTATTTCATTTGAGCCTCACAGCCACTCTTGGAGGTAAGTGCTATCATTATCCCCATTTTATAGATGAGGAACCTGAGGCAAACAGAAGTGAAGTGACTTGCCCAGGGTCAAATAGCTAGTAAGTATTCCAGGCCACTTCTGAACTCAAGTCTGGAAATTGAGGCAAACAGAGGTTAAGCCCAGTGTCACATAGCTCGTATCTGAGGCTGCATTTGAACTCAGGTCTGTCCTGACTCTAGGTCAGGTACTCCATCCACTAAGCCACCTAGCAGCCTTACTTCATGAGTGAAGTAGACTCTTGCCTACCTTCTCAAACATGATCTATAGCTCTTCCTCTGTCACTCAGCAGCTGCCTCTGCCCAACACTAGGAGATTTATTCCCTCAGTGTCATAAGTGTTGTAGCCTGGAAGGGGACGGCATGTATCCAGAGCAGTCCAGTGAGAAAGCTGCGCATGGAAAGAAAGGAGCTAGCAGTAATCCCGCCTCCAGGGGAAGCTGTGAGGTACCACAGTAGCTAGAGTTCTGGACATGGACTCAGGAAGTGCTGAGTGTGAATTCTGTTTGGTCACTTCCTAGATCTATGATTCTGGGCTCTGTCCATTTAGAGTCCTTTCAGGATCATAAGATTTAGAGCTCATCTAGTGTAACCCTTTCATTTTACACATGATGAGGGCGAGGGTTTGAGAAGTCAAGTGATTTAGGTCACAAGTGGCAGAGGCAGGATTCAACCTTGGATCCTCTCACTCCACATCATTACTCTTTCTACTGGGCCATCTCACTATCTCCAATGAGATAATATTTGTAAAGCACTTACAATAGTGCCTGGGCAAGTCACTGTAACTCCCTTAGTCTTACTTACCTCATCAGTAAAGTGGGAATAACAGTACCACCTACTACACAGGATCATTGTGAAGGTCAAATGAGACAATATGTATAAAATACTTTGTAAATTTTAAAGCAATATATAAATACTAGCTATTATTATCATTGCTGCCAATAAACCCCATTGACTTAGACCTTTATTTCTGTTTCTATCTCTCTCTGTCTCTGTCTCTGTCTCTCTTTTGCATGGATTGAAAAGAGGTAGTGTTGGTGTGAAACTCAAATTTGGCACCACTAGGCTTGGAGCTTTTTTAGTTGCTCCTTTCCAAACCCTTTGATGGGTCCCAGGACTCACATGTTCAGTGTTACATCCAGTGACTTGCACTCCAGCACACAGAGCATTGGCCGCTCTTTCATTATTATATACCCGGAACTGGACAAAGCCTCCAACCAATTCAGCTGGTAAGACACAAGAGAATTGGTCTGATCATTGTGAAAGACAAAAATTCAGAGATTAGTTTTAAAGGAGCAGCCCTGGTATTCCCTGAATGATGTACCTTAAGACTCGGACCATGGCTTAACATTCTAATGGTTCAGAGCAAGTCCATCTGGGAGCAGGGACTCATGCTTTACAACCACAGACATAGCCAGAAGAACCCAAGAGCAGCTGAAGATATCACCAGAGATTTCAACCAAGCCCTGGGCTTCAGTGAAGTACCCTTGCTTGTCTGAGAATTGAAGGAAAACTATGGTATTCCTTTTATGGGCATGTCATCATTATAGTAGAAAGCTCAGAGGGATGAGAACAGGTAATATCATTGTTTGGGGCTCAGATAACAAACACTCACTCTGACCATTTGGAGAGTA